AAAGCCTTCTTCCCAAATATGTTTCGGTTGTTAAAGGCTTCTGGTTTTCTCTGATTTTGGCTTTTGTTAGAAGAACAGTTAGCAATGAAGTGTCCAGGCTTTCCACAATCATAACAAGTTTGGTTTTGAGCTTGACCTTTCTTCTTTAACCTGAATTTTATGAACTTCTTGGCAAAATAGGCTACTTCATGATCTTCTAGGTCGTCATCATTAGATTTCTTTTGACTTTCTTCAACAACTTCTTTGGCCTTGAGAGCTGCTTCTCTTCTATGTTGTGTAGGAACCCCAATTGTCATTTCATAGGCAGTAAGTGAAGCTTGTAGATCATCAATCTTCATCTGTGACATGTCCTTGTCTTCAAGAATGGTAACCTTTGCATTGAATCTAGGAGTTAAGGACTTGGGAATCTTTTATACACATCTGAGTCCTTCATAACTTCACCAAAAGTTTTTATATTGTTGACAATTTCATTGATCCTGAACAAATACTCTGAGACAGCTTCCCCTTCTTCCATCTTACAGCTTTCATATTGAACTTTCAGAAGTTGAATCTTGTTTTCCTTGATCACATTGTTACCTTCATGAGCAGCCTTGAGAGAGTTCCACATTTCCTTAGCTGTTTTGCAATTTTTGATCTTTGTGACCTCTTGTTGCTTGAGTGCACAAAATAAAGCAGGTTTGGCCCTTTCATCATTTGACAAAGCCACTTTATCAGCTGTTGTAGGTTTTGCAACATTTGTGATAGTAACACCAACTGTAGTAGCTTGTCAAACTTCATAAGATTGTGACATCAAGAATGCCTCCATCCTTGTTTTCCATGAATCCTAGTTTGAACCATCAAACCCTGGAGCCTTGTTTGTAATTTGACCTTTTTCCCTATCTCAAGATCTTTTCTGCAAGATATTAAGCCTTTACAGCAGACCTTGGCTATGATACCAATTGATGAACCAAGAGGGGGAGGGGGTGAATTGGTTCTTAAACTTTACAAACCTTTTTCACAACAATGAAACACACTTAGGATATGAAACCCTAATCTGTCACAGTTTGTTTGAAGCAGATTCACAGCCACAAGGACACCGAATTTAATAAGGAAAACCCCTCTCAATAGGGATAAAAAATCTTGGTTCTTGGGTACACAACCAATGCAAAATCCAATAGTTGTAATGCAAGTAGATACACACTCAGATGTCTCTCACTCTGCACACACCCTAGTTCACAACATGTGCTCTCAGCATTCCCCTTGTCCTAAGCACCCTCGCTTGGACCAAATAAGCTCCCACAGCTCATCAAATACACAATGGAAGATGTATAACAAATATACTTAGGCTATTACACAAGATAAGAGTGACAATATAGCTCAAAGTATCCACAATACCAAGTGCTCAACAATCATCCGCAGAATCAGTGGACTGAAGGGTAAAAGTGGAATTCAGCTTCACTACAGACTTGAACATGGTTACCACAGCCTTATATCAACAAAATATGCTTGCTCAAACAATAATCTCAGGGAAGATAGCAAGATATCACAAACACAGTACACAACAGGCTTGGTTTTTGCAGATTACCCCAAGTCTAAAGGGTTTGGTATACCAGATTTTGATATGACCAATTTTTTGTGCAAATCTCAACTTATAAAGCCTCTAATCAACTATATAATCATGGTTAGATGATATACTACAAGCTCATAGCAAGATATAACTATATAAGCTCAAAACAGAAGGCTTAAACCAGAAAATAATAGCAAACTAGAGGTCTAAGACATCAAAATTAACTACAGCAAGAATATGAGTGAAAACACAGTTTTTGCAGTAGTAAAATGGTGAAATACACTTGCCTCAACCTTCACAGTGTTCTGAGAATTGCTCAAATCAATTTGACCTTGAACCTTGAATCTGGACCAGAACACAGCTCCGTGTAGCATTGTTGATGATCAACACATTTGTCTGCACTCAATATAGAATTCTGAGGTGAAAGGAAGCTCAAATAATGGATCTAAAACCCAGAAAACTTTGTTCATTCTTGACTCTCGAGACACACACCAATGCAGTTCAAAGGAGGCTCACAATGTACTCACACAAGGCTTGAAGGTTGTTGCCGCTATAACAGTGTATATATACTAATACACTGAGCTGTAGTCCTGCCATAATGAGGAAAGAAACGTGGCACATTCCACCAATCATTGGTGAGGGAATATTATGACATTCCCTGAGTGAAAGGACTACAATGTCCCTGCCAACTTTGTAGTTTGTCTTCTAGTGCACCAACAAATTGACAGCTCACATATATGTATAAATATTTGAATCAATACAAACTTAGTGTCTAAGAAATGTGAATTGTCCAACAACTTTCTTTCACTAGGACCACAATGCACGTATCTATCATGTGTATAACACAATTGAAAAGACCAAAATGCCCTTATGAAGGACACTTGGCATTATATAACAGAATATTGAGTTGTAGCCTATGTATATACTATCAAATTGAAATTTTGAGCTCTGTGATACAATGTAGCATCCAAGATAAGTATACAATTGCAATGAATATACTTGAATGCTCTGTTCGGTAGGAAGGAAGAGGGGTGGAAGGAAAATATGAGGAAAAGAACAAAATTCCTTCGTTCGGTAAGAAAGAGACACGGAGAGAGGATAATAGGAGGGACGGCTTATCCCTCTTTCTTTACAAAATTTCATCCGCCCAAATTTGGGCGGAAGACGGGAGAGAAAACAAGTGGAGCTATTATAAAAATACTAAATTACAATATTATCCTTCCTAAATATTAGTTCAAATTAAACCCTACACATCTCATCTCACGCAAAACGCTCTCTCCAGCAATCTCTCTCATATACATAGATCGACAGTATCTACAAATAGGTTTGATTCATGTGTTATATATATATCACATTCTCCTTTATCATGCTTTTGTATCCCACGCTTGCCTTGAAACCTAACCTCTGTAACCTTTGGTTGGTTGAGATCTGGATCTTACATATATATATATATATATATGGATTGTTTGTTATATAATTGCGTTATTAGTAAAAAAGAGGATTCAAAAGAAAAAATACACAGTCTACATAAAGAACCATACAATGCCATAAAGCATTTTTTAAGAACATATTTAGAACGAAAAAAACTCCATGTTCACACCTAGTTCGAAAAACAGTAGTTATATATGTATATATAAATAAAGCAAACAACAAATTAGAGTGAAATTAATGGTACTGTTCAAATGCGCAGTAAAGATGATAGCTATTTACAGGGAAAAAAAATAATGAAGGGTATAATGATAAGAATAATTTTAAATTATCTCTTCCCTTCTCTCGTAACGAATAAAGGAATTTGGTAGGTTCTTCTTTTCTCTTCCATCCAACCGAACAAAACGAGGGAAGTTCATAATCTCTTCTCTAGGGATGTCTCATCCTTTCGTTCCTCTCTCCCTTCCATCCAATTTTCTTCCTTCCTAATGAACGGAGCAGAAATGACTGAACTACCTTGGTAGTGACAGAAACCCTAGAATATTCGATACACGAGTAAAATAGTTGCGATTGGTCTGTGATGTAATGTACCTTCCTCACTCGATTTAAATTGAGCTCTTACATGTAGTAAATGACCATATTACCCCTGTACATCACTGAAATGGCTTGAGCACACCAGAATTCATAGTATATCAGAGTAACGGACATGTGATCAATCTTTTGACATTTAAAGTGCAAAAACCCTAATTAAAAGCTGGACCAACACACACCTAAACCAAATCTCCATTAGAGTTACACTTATTTACTTGTTTGCCTCTTTGGCTTGGAAGGATAGGAAAAACGGACTTCTAAAATGTTTCTCCTTCTCTCTCTCTCATGTTGTGCCGGCTTGGTTTATATTGGTCATGAAAAAAAATTATGCTGGTTTTCAAGCTACCTAGCGCAATCCCTCTCCTTTTTCCGGGCTTGGCACCGTCTGTGTAAAGAAACATAAGCTCAGATTTGCTAGTTAGGTTAGTATTGCATTGAAGCATGGTATGGTGGCTTTAAGGCCTCTTTTTACCACAAATGAACCGATAGTCATTAGGGCCTAATGAAACATAACGAAGCAATTATTTGCTTCACAACAAACAAACAGGTCAATGACTAGAAAATTACAATAAGATGGATCCTGCTATTATCAGCCGTTTGGTTGTGTGCCTCCTGCCACCCTCATGGGTGATGTGTAGGTACAACTACCCATTGAGACATGGACGAGATCATTTGATCACAACAGAAAAATAGGACTGGGAGGTCCACGCTAATCCCCAGAATACCAACGTAATCCCATGATGAGAACCTCAAGCAGTGGCGGAGCCACATAGGGATGAGTGGGGGCTGCCCCCACTCAACTTTTGCTGTATTTTAATTCTACCTCTATAATGTTTTAAAATTGTAAAAACGCCCCCCTCTTCAAAATTATTATAAAATAAAAAAAAAAATAGAAATTGTGTCTTGAATCTCTTGACCCTTCAAGCCTTCCTTTTGTTGATTTTTATCTTTGTCTCACAAACTCTCTTCCGCCGTCACTCTCCCACAACTTAGATCTAGTTCATCTGTTTCATTTTGCAAAAATCCTCTCATTCTTTGTACAAAACAGAAATTTCAATTTTTATTTTTATTTGGATAGGAAATTTCAACATCAATAAACTGTTTTTTTTTTTTTTTTTGATATTTGGATGTACAAATAAGCAAGGATAAAGGGGAGGGATGTTTTTGTACATAATGACGGGACTGGACTGTGGTGTAAACCTCCACTGTAAGATATATAAAACACTGCTGCGTAACACACTAACCCACTCCAAAACATAAAATAATTGAAAATGAAATTGTGATCAACTGACGCCACTTAACTATTTCCAGTTCTCTAATAGAAAACTGTTTCCACAGTTTTTTTTCAGTTTTTTTTTTTTTTTTTTTTTTTTTTTTTTTTTTCAGTTTTCTGTTTTTCAGCTTTTCCAGTATCAAAATTGATGATATTAGATAGTTATTTCCCTTGCTGCAGGCAATGCTGAATCCTGACTTCCGAAAACGGCCAATTGCAGAAGCTGTGTTGAACCATCCATTCATGACCAGTGCTGTTCTTTGAGTACTAGGAGTTGAGTAGTAGATTAATATATTCGTGAATATAGCTTTTTTTAGGTTGGCAAATATCACATTCATAGAACAAAATTATTATTTTTTATGTTCATTCTTTGTAATTTTACCCCCTTCTGGGGTATGTGCTGCAAAGCTGTAATAGTGTTCTCATTGGCCATACAGGGAGAGTTTCATGTATTTCCAGTTTCCGGTTTGCAATTTGTCAAGGCTATTTATGGCTTTGTGCCCATTCCATTATTTTGGGTCCAGATGATAACATTGATGTTATGTTTGGGAGCACCGAATCGGCGTCTTGAATTTGAACTTAGAGCAAATTTTACAAAGTTTAAACTGAATTTTTTTCAATACCAATTCTTAGGTCCTGATTCGGTATTCTTAAACGCAGCATTAGTAAATTTTTCTCTCAATAGCTAAGGGATCATATCTATATGATTACCCGGGTGATGATTTCGATTGGATCAGGATCCTCATAATTTAGGGGTGCAAGTGAGCTTGCATTTTTAGAAGCTCGGGTTGAAAGTTCTCAACCCGCACCCAATTTGGGTTGGCCTCAGGTTAGAATTGTTCTAACCGGATCCCAGCCCTTCCAACCCCAATTTAAATTTATTTATTATTTATTTTTTTCATAACCCCCAGATATGCGAGATTTCGGCCAAAAAAAAAAAAAAAAAAAATTCCTTATGTTGGCATGCTAATGAGCCTTGTAAATAGTTCAAGATTAATTAATGATTATCTTCGAGAGCCATAGGCAACCAACTGGATTCTCAGTGACTGCATTAGAGTGTTCGATAACACATGTACTTCTAATAAAAGTTGAACAAATGAAGTTCTGACTTGAAAACTGTGACAACAACTGACCCTTAATTTTTAGATAACTTTTAATCTTCATTTTGTCAATTTGATAATTACTGCTCGAATTTGAATGAACTAGACGCACCAACCTGTTACCCAATATATCATCTAAGACGGGGCTGAATTTTAGTCTTAGGGAAATAATGGATTTTAATTCGATTATAAAATTTGTGCAAATATGAAGTACAAAGCAACAATAGCAATATAGAGGGAAAGTGAGTCAAGCTCTAAACAACCCAGCCTCAAATCATGACTTTTCAAAATAAAATTAGAAAACGTTTTTTCACTCCGTTGTTGCAAAATTCTGCATGAAGCCCAACGCCTTTCCTACCAGAGAGGAGAAGTCAATAAAAAAACTTTGTATTTAATTTTTTGCGTGCCTTAACGGGTTTACCAACCCCTCTTTTTATAGAGGAGTCTTGATAGCAGTGTTCACTTAGGAAATTGATTCCCTGACTTTATTGAGGAAAAGAAAGAGTTAGTGAGGAAAAGATAGTCGCTGTCATCGTCATCTCTACCACTTGTAGTCTATTTGACCTCTCTGGCTCCCGTGCATATTTGATTTCTCATTTTAAAATTACTCTTTCTTACCTTGTCATTTTTCTTGTACGCTAGAGACGTTAAGGCAACGTTTGCCTTGATTTTGTTGTTTTCATTTTCTTTAATTAGAACTAAGGGCGACCTATGTGTGTGTTTAGGTCGGTTCAAGCCCACCAAAAACAAATTTTAAAACGAATTGGATCGAGCTGAGGTGGAACGATCTTTACTACTCGATGGAACAGTGGAAATCAGCGGATGCAGCTCAGCAACGTAGAGGAGTTGGATCTTAATCAAGTAATGATCTTGTTGGGGTTTAAGGAATAAGTGTTTATTTGATCCTGCTCGCAGTGAACTGAAGCTATTTAGACTGAGTTATTACTAATTTGAGGTTTCTTGGTCAACAAGACATTAATTTGAAAATCATTTTCCTCTTACAAAAAAAGAAAAAAGAAAAAAAAAGGCATCTTCCAATTTTCAGAGATGACATGGGATCTTTTTAGTTATTTATTTGTATTTATCTCTATTTATCATCATACCTCATGGATCTTGATTGTAGATTGGATTTGTTATGGTTACATGATCTCTTGCAAAATTGTATTTATTTTATTTTTTATTCTCTGCCAAAAATAGATGACGTACTTGCTCTTCACCATAAACTGGAACTCACACTGTTCATGTTATTATCAATTTTGGTAATGGGTAGTGTTTGTGATAAGTCGGATGAGGTTAGAGACAAAAGAGAAATTGGGTTCATTGATCACGAGTTTTAAAAATTATGTAGCCACAACCCAGTGGAAACGAGTCCTGTTTTAATAGTATGTATCTATCCCATTCCTTCTTGTAGCAGGAAAAGCCTCAATCAGGAGTCATAGGAGAAACTTCTTTCAATTGATAAACATTGAAACATTATGTACAGCTGTAAATAGTTAAAATATGGGGATTATCGCATATAAATGTTGCTAGTTGTCCATATTTACTATTTGACGGAGTTAAAGTTTCATCAAGATATCACTTTTAGGCACATAGGTATCATTTTTTGTGCATGCAGGTATCACTTTTTTTTTTTGCATTAGGTATCACTTTTATTCACATAAATATCACCTTTTGTGCATATAAGTACCACTTTTTGTGCACCAGGTACTGCTTTTTTGTGCAACACAAAAAGTGGTACCTAATAACAAAAAGTGATACATGCATACACAAAAAGTGGTACCTATGTGCCTAAATATGGTACATCTCTTAGTAAATAATGTTTTTTTATGTGTTCATTTTTTATGAGACTTTGACTCCATTAAATTATAAAATATGAATCAATGGCATCATTTATATGTAATAATAAATATATGTCTCATATCCTGAAAATTCATTCACTCGTTCAGCAACTTTTAATGTGGTGTACATTCAAGGATTCCTAGGGTCTTTTTCCTTGGAAGACCGAGTTCTATTGCAAACTAAACGTTTGGCTGACTTGCAAATCCAAGGAAATCAGCTTGCACATATCGGTTGTTCATTTTGTTGTTGAGGATGAAACAATTGAACGGGTAGGGTTTTTTTTTTTATTTTTTTATGTGGACTTTCATTAAAAATAATGAAAGAATTATAGTACATGGAGAGAAGTGAAGGCATACCCTCACTTTACACATCTGAAATGGAGAAACTCCATTTCCAACAGCAAATAAGCAATAAAACAAAAAAGTTTCTAAATTGCGAATTGTTACAATCCATGCCAATCATTTATAAAAATCCCAATAATGTCAAAATAATTCCCAACGCCCTATCTAGCCACAAAAGAAGGAAAATAATATGGTCCTTAATGAAGTTTGAAGTTCCTGACGGTACAAGAAAAGTGGATTTTTATGACAAAATATTCATAGGGTTCCTTTATCTTGCCTCGTGGAAACTACTTTTTACGGGATTCATAAGAGAATCCTCGTAATTGTTATATAAAGGGTCATGCTTTCATGGGGTTTTAGCAGGATCCTCGTAGAAAAACATTTTCACAGTGTTGCATTTGTCCAACTTTAATGGGCAAAAGTTACTCATTGATAAAGTACTAAAATTACACTTTTAAAAGGTATCTTTTTGTCCCATGAAAAAGTAATAAAATTTCACCCCAAAAGTTTTTTCACTCGGGCGCCAAATTGACATTGGCACATTTTCATAAAATGTTGAAAATTTCATTACCAAAATAATCTGAATTGTGAAGGGAAAAAAAAATACAAACAATAGATACCATATTGATCATGTAGTGCGACTTTGTTAATGCATGCCACATATGACAGAATAGTAAGAATCCAACCTGAAAACACAAGTGAAAGCCCATCAATAGTTGAAGACTATCTGAGAAGTGTTCATTCAGATATGAACTAAATACCCTAACCCAAATTTCATTAATATATGTCAAAGTCTAACTCCAATTTCATAAATACATTAGGAAAATTGAAAACCCTAACTTGTTCTTTAACTCCTTTGCCCAGCTCTAATCTCAAAATCGCATCAGATGAGTCATGTATTCCTTAAATGAAAAAATCACGAATCAATTACATAAACACATTGACACACAAATACACATAGATATATATACACACAAACATATGCGTATAAAATGGTATAGATATAGAGAAAAAAAAAACTTGAGAAAAAGTTTAGAATGTTAACCCTAGAGATAGATGGAGATTAGGGTTTTTCATGAAAATCACAGAGGATGTGACGGCTCTGGATTTTACAAACCCAGTGCGTCCTGTGATGACCTGAAACAGATCCAAAATTACGGAACTGAAACATAAAACCAAGGTCTTCAGAGATGTAACACATCCCTAAGACACTGAAGTGACCTTCCATAAGGTCATAGATCTCAAAGAAAACAAAGTGCGGAAGCAAGGTTGAAAATAGACCAAGTTTGGTCCCGAGGGAAAAATAATCATTTCAAGCTGAAATGGATGTCACCGTGCACACCATTGGAAATATAACGAAAAACTAACAAAGATAGACTCGAGAATCACTTGATTCGGAGTCCGGATGGCAAAGATATCAAGTCCCGAAATCAAAGGAAAAGAAACCACGAAAGAATCCCATCCTGGTTCGAACCAAATCCTGACACTACCTGACTAAAAATTGAATATCTTGAGGTACAAGTGGAATCTGAAACTGTAACTGGTACCATTGGAAAGCTTATTTTGACGCGGTCAGTTTAGATTGAATAATGGACCAATTCTGAGTTAAAACAAAAGAGATATGACTATTTGAAATCGAAGGGTCAAAGCTGAGTCAACCTGTAAAAGAAGGCTTGGAGCGCTCTTCCATGCTGATGTGCCAAACGAGTGCTTGTCCAACATTCATGGAGCACTTGTAGTTAGGTTTAAGCCCATTGCCCAAAGTTGGAGCGCTCGTCCCCTACGGATGAACGCTCGTCCGATGCCTAATGCACCAGACCAGCCAACTTGAAATGTGGCCTTTAAGGGACTTTTTTGGAAAAAAATTGTTAAGTGACCCCCCCCCCCCCCACCCCCCCGGGCCGAAAATCATGTTTTTTGGTCAACCATGTCAAGAACGGAATTTATTTTTCAATGAAAGTACCCAAAATGCCCTTTAGATCAGATATGGCAAAGAAAATGTAAAATGAGTCCAAAGGGTACTCAAATCACCAAGGAAGAAGTTTTGCCCGGAAACAATTATGCACGCAGATGTAATATACCTATTAGGACGTGCTACAATGATCCAAGGCTTAAAAATACTGTCGATGCAAAATATGACCTATCCGAAACCCAATGCGTGAAAAACGCCTT